AACCCTAATTATAAAAAGATTGGGGGGAGAGGCACATTGCATGGCTAAACGATGACCGATGGACGAAGAAAATAATAGAATGGAGACCATGGCTGAGAAACTTAAATGGAAATGACGGTTCATTAAAAATAGTTTTTCCTCCAAGATGCAGAGGCGCAAAATATTAAAACTGTCAATGTTAACAATGCAAATGTCAATATCTGACAATAATAAAATTTGATTTTTAACTGTCACTCAGAGACGCTTTTGTTGTGATTTTACGGTTTGATTTCGTTTTGATTTGTCGAATTATTGTAAAATTAAATTCCTTCAGAGTTTTTGCCAGAATTCTGTTTTAGACAATGTTTTTTAAAAATGGTGGGACAATTTGTGTTTTGTATAGACTCTTAATTATTTTTTATCATGGAGTTTAATTGTTGTACACCTGGTTTCCGAAGGATACAATGGTAAGTAAATTAAACATATCTACTTACAGTTATAGATTTTTTAAATTAGTACTGCTAATAAATGCCACCTGCTGAGCAGTTATTTAATTTTATTAAGGTGCATGTAAGGAATTAAGGACGCGCGTTGTGTTATATTAGCATGATCAGCAGATGATTACATCTAATTTAATTTGTTTTTATTATTTCAGGTCTCAAACGGAAACAAACTGGGAATCTTGCCTACACCAAAATTATATAGCCGTTTCAATTCACTTCAAAGGGAGGAAAATTATGTAAAACTGCCTGCTATTTGCTGAAAACCGCCAAAGATTAAATTATAACTGTAACAACTTAATATATACTATTTCTAGTCTTTTTAATATATTTTTTAATTAATATCCGACATATAAGAACACTTTGTATGCTTTTAATTCAGTTGATTTATCGTTTATAATATGTTCGACCTAATTAAAAGCACACAAAGTGTTCTTACATGTATGTCTAAATTTATTTTAAATTAACTAAAACAACACCCTTCCCCGCACCCCTCTCTTCCATTAGTATTTCTTCCTCCATCTACCAGAGGCGCCCTTGTATAATAAAATTGAAATGTATTATAAGTTGCCTATCTATTTAATAGTATAAGTTTTTTATCTATGATGGAGACCAAGACATGATGCATTCAGGAGCAGAGGCCGTCCTCCCACCAGATGGCATGACGACTTAAGGCTTATCCACAGTAACTGGATGCAAATAGGTCAATATAGGGAGTTATGGAAGCAAACGAGGGAGACCTATGTCCAGCAGTGGTTTAGTGGCTGGTTGATGATGATGATGATGATAGAAAGATTAAAAAAGGATATACTGTTTCCCGACACACAAATCTATTTCCAAAAAAACTTATTTTTTTCATGAATTTTAAATTACACCATTTAAAAAAATAATATATTGGGCTTGAGATCGCCAAAATTTTATCGACTGGATTTCCTAGCCGCCTTTGATGCAGTTTTTTGGTCGTATGGTATATTGAACTTTAAAATACTTGAAATTTTTAAGGTGTCCCTTTTGTAAATGTGAACTGAACCTTAAATCTAACCGAAATACTCTGTGTAACTAAAAAAAAGGAGTATATAGATATCCGATTTTTTTAGTTTCAATACTGATATGAATAGTTTTCGAATCATTGGATTACTATGGACAGTATCGCAAAATACCAATACATATTATCGTCGTATACTCTCAAATCCGAGAGTACATTTCATTAAAAGATACAACATATCGTACAAACCTTCTCGAGGATCAAAAAAAAACAAACCGAATTGAGGACGATTGCGGAAAACACGCGAAACATCAGAATTCCTCGGCGAAAACGTGGAAATGCCTCGTCCGACTCGAATCGATTCGATTCGGAGATCGGACGGGCGAACATGGACAAGGAACGTTTCCTGGGCGCGGAACACCGCCGCGCCGTCCTCGAAAAACGGAAATATGATCGAGGCACACGCAGCGTGCACGGATTTTAGAGCCAAAGTCAAACGGAGAAATGCTCAGATTGAAAGAAATACACACGATTTTTTGCAATTCAGTTAATAGTCCAAGAGACGGGTGTAAAAACATGCAAGAGTTTACTGAAGACTCGTATTTTAAAAAGCAAAGGTACACACATGGCCAAAATTATTACATATAACGATATTTTTATTTTATTTTGGACCTAATATGATTCTTTTTATATTTTTGGGCACTACACGACTAATTAATATAAAATTAAAAATCTAAGTGCAACAAGGCCGTTATTATAATTTTATTTCATAAGGAGTGAAAATCAACAAACACAAATTTCATTTTAAACAGAAAATATTGAAAACAATTTTAATTATTTCTCACAACTAATAGTCTGTATTGCCTCCGCGAGCCTCAATGCAAGCTGTGAGAAGACGTGGCATGCTCTCAATTAAGTTGTCCAGAAGATGTTGAGGAATAGCTTCCCATGTTTCCAGGTTCTTGAGTTCCGCTTTAAATTGATTTCTACTTGGGAAGTAAAACGGTTCTGGTCCAGTTGGTGGATTGTTGTGTCCTTTTTAGCTAGATCTTAGCTAGATCTTAGCTTGTTCATTACTTTGTACATTACATATTCTATCCCTTGGTGGGCTGGTACTCAGGGTTAGAGGACTTTATTTCATTTGCCTAATTTGTTCAGATTCTCTAAGCATTCTTTGACCAATTTCGAGTTGATGGTTACTGAGTTGATCGCTTTTAAAGCTGCTTGACCATCGGATAAGATATCTCTAGCCAAGGTGAACATACGTAGATCGCTAGATATTTTATTGCTCTGAGTTGAGCGAACATAAATCCGGCAAATGTCGGGCGATTGGCTCGTTGGCCGCGACGGCGGCAACGGCAATCATACACACGCGGCCGCTAGATGTCGCAGTTTATCTTTCTTCTTTGGCGGTCCCGCTAACAAGTCCCATAAAAAACGCGCCCGCAGAGACCAGATATCGGACAGAGAGGCAAATCGGGGCATGGTAGAGGCGAACCGAGACGGAAATAGAGATCGATTGGCGAAAAATACGATCGGGCCGGGCATCTCGATCATACGACGCTCTCGTCGCTATAATTCACGTGAAAAGTTGAGATGTCGCTGAGATTTATGGGTGACGATGGTTGGAAGAGGATAGTGTGCAGGGGAAAACAGAGCCTTAATAAAACTGGAGTTTAGAAAGATGCTTCAGTTTGAAGTAACATTATAAAGAAAAGTACTCATAAAAATACCGAGGGAAAAGTCTAATCTCAAGATTAGTGGACTCTCCCGCTTAAGTTAACACTTTTACTTAATTATGAATAGTCGATAATTTTTTTATTTTCGAAAATTTTCGATAACTGTTTGGCTTGAAAAATTGATCACTTTGATTCGTCCAATTCTGTCTTTCGCCTTTATTCTCCACCCATCCACTCTTATCCTTCTCAAGTCCTCTTCTACATCCTTTTTCCATCTGATTCTCGGTCTATCCCTCCTTCACTTTCCACTTATTTCACGTTTCATTATTATACTAGGAATTCTTGCTTCAGCCTTTCTTTCAATATGTCCCAGCCATCTAAGTCTTTGTGCTCTTGCTACTCCCGTTATACTCGGTGCCTGATATAGTTGCTTTAATTCTTCTTTTGTTCTTCTGGTCCATATGTTGTCTATCTTCTTTCCTCCTAAAATCTTCCTCAGTATTTTTCTTTCCCAAATCTCTAGCCTCGAACTTTCTGTTGCACTGAAGGTCCACTTTTCACATGCATACATCACTATTGGTCGTACCATTGTTTGGTTCATTCTAATTTTTAAACTTCTAGAGATGTTCTTAGTCTTAATAATTTTCTGTAGTGCGTTAACACATCTATTTCCTGCCGTTATTCTTGCCATAATTTCTTGAGTTATATTTGGTTTCCTTAGAAATACGGCTCCTAGATATATGTGAATGTATCTACTTCCTCAAATTTGTTTCGTTTCCCTCTCTCAGAATCTATTTGTCGACATCTTCCCTTCTCAAAATCCCTATCTGACCACTCCGTAAATTACGTTTTTTTCTCATTAAACACTAAGCCTAGGTACTTTTTGCGCTTGACCTTTTGGTCACCGATATCAGCTCTTTCAGATTTCTTGCTAAGATAACTAAAGCATCTGCAAAGGCTAAGCATTTGTGTCTTTTTGTTTACAGAAGACCCTCTCTATTGTGTCTGTTGCCCCTTCTGGTTTTCAAAATATTTGAAAAAACTTGAAAAAACTAGCTATATATATATATATATATATATATATATATATATATATATATATATATATATATATATATATATATATATATATATATATATATATATATAAACGGGATTAGGTATAAGTATTTGATACTTTTTTCCAACTACAGCCTATTGCTGCCTTCCCGTTACCCTACGCCACACGTCTCGATTTAGTGCCTCATCAGCTTCTAGGTTACGAGCTTCCATTGCTTCCTTAACCGTTGCGTTCCAGGATTTTCTAGGTCTGCCTCTCTTTCTTCTACCCTGGGGAGTCTATTGAAAAACTTTTCTTTGCCACCTGTTCTCCGGCATACGTAGAACATATCCAAACCACTTTAAGCTGGATTTTTCAATTCGATCTAGCACTGTCTCCTTCGATGCATTCATGATACGCCTGACCTCGATATTTGTCTTTTTTTCCATCCTAGATATACCTGCGCTCCTTCTAAGATAGTTCATTTCAACAACTTGGATTTTGCGCTTCGTATCTGCACTCAAAGTCCATAGCTCTGAACCATAGCAAAGAACTGACTCCACCAATGTTCGTCCAAGTCTCTTTTTAGTTGTTGCAGACAAGTTTCGGTCCCACCAGAGGCTATTAAGACAACCAATAACTTGTTTGCTCTTCTGAATTCGGGTTTGTATTTCTTCTTTGCCCAAACCCTCGTTGTTGATAGTAGCACCCAGGTATTTAAATTTGTTTACTTGTTGAATCTGGACGTTATCATCTATGAAGACTTCAAAACAAGCGTTGGAGTTGACAGCTAAGTATTCTGTCTTTTTTAGACTAACCTGAAGTCCCCATTTGTTATATTCTTGGTAAAGCCTCTTAGTCATGAACTCCAGATCGAAAGAGTCCTGCGCAATCACGACCTGATCGTCTGCAAAGCTCAGAGTAAACAGTGTATCTTCCCCAATGGGTATTCCCATGCCTTGGCATCTCCTCTTCCATTCCCTAAGGGCTACTTCAACTTCTTAACGTACGCTTTATTTTCTTTATAGAGCTCTTTTATTATCTTAAGTAGGGGTCTATCTACTTCTAAAATATTCAAGGCATCCCATATCTTGTTGCGAGGAATAGAGTCGTACGCTTTTTCCAAATCAATAAACGCTAGATGGACTTCTTGATCTACTGCTATCTTTTTTTCCATCACCTGCTGTAGGACAAAGAGGTTATCTGTGCAAGATTTCCCCGGTGTAAATCCGTTTTGATCTTCCGAGATTTTGTCACCAATATTATGCCTGAGTTTACCCTGCAGAACTTTTCCAAAAAGCCTGCTCACTGAACTGTTAATGCTCAGGCCTCTATAACAACCGGGGTCGTTGCGATTTCCCTTTTTAAAGATAGACACTATTTGAGCCACTCTCCATTTTTGGGGTAGTTTATTTTGCATACAGCACTGGTTGAACAGCTCTGCCAGGCGCCAGCGCAATTTCTCGGTCCCACACTTTAACAATTCTACTGCAATGTTACCAGGACCTGGTGACCGTCCATTTTTCATTTTTTCGAGACTTAGATGTACTTCTCTTTCGCTGATCGTTAAAGTGCCCGCAAGGTTGTCTTCCTCTTCTGCAGATTGGAATTCTGGTCGGTTTTCTGTTAGTAATTCTGCATAGTAGTTGCGCCATTTTTCTATATCAATTTGATTCAAGAGCTTGTCCGTTTGATTGGTTTTCATTTGTCGGATTGTTCGCCAGACCTCAGTACTCCGTGCTGAAAAAACTAGCTCAATGTGCAATAATTGCTCCCATAAGCAATGAGTTGGATGGATATACGGATCATTTTGATTATGTGTGTGTGTAACAAACAAGCTTTGAGTCAGTGTGATACATTATTGCATTTGGGAGGGCATATAACGTTTTTGAAAACAGGACTAAAAATTCAGGTCCGTATTTAAGAAAAACTAAATGATGGTTTAAAATTTTGATTGTTAAACTAAACACTTCAAACCTACAAAACTTATTAATCAAAATTCCTAAATTTTTGTATCTATGAATCAAACATCACTACTATTCTCTTCATATATCCTCTGTAGTTCGAATGATATTTCTATCTTACAGTAGTATATCTGTACCATTATACATAATATATACGAGTATTAGTGTTAAGGTGCTCTGCAAATAAAACCAGTAACAGTTGTACTGGTATGTATCTATTAATCACGACAATTATTTATTTAATAAACACGTCACGTCAGTGCAAGTGCCATTTTATTAACAATTACTCGGGAAAAATTGTGAAAACATTTCCGAGAAATCGAGACTTTATGCAAGGTAATGCTACCGTCGCGTCGGACAAATTGTTTTCTTAACACCGCCACCTTATTTATTGTTTTGAAATGTACAGATACATTTTTTACACTTTGTATATGTTTGTTTTTTAACATTAATCATTGCCGTAACAACAAATAGAGTTTCAATCTATAGGTAGGAGTATTTTCTAAATAAAAAATTAAACTCCGGAGAGCAAAGAAATTTTACCAATTTGTTTCATCTGATTGTCAAGTGAAAGAGAGAGCGACAATATGTCACATGACGTTGTTAACGATGGCTGAACAAACAGTAGTAAGCTGTAATGTTATAGTTTGTCCAACGACAACATCATTGACATGGATAGATGTGTCTGTTATTTTAATTTCAAAGTAGTTTATTTTATTTTACAATGAAATAAGTTGGTACAATTGGAACGCATAGCAGGAAATTAATATAACTTATGCTCAAATACAAATTTGTAATATTGCATAGGAATAAATAAAACAAACTATTTTATTAATAATAACACTTACCAAATTTTATACCTTAAAGGTTGATTAATTAACTTTAATCTTAATTTTTTTAAACCAGTACCTTTTGATATTATTTTTCTGCATTAAAATCTAAAATCCACTATTTACCTATTGTGTGATGTCGATATTTTACAGCTACTCCAGTTTTTAATATATGTTTAGTACGATCCTTGTACCATATACGAGATGCACTTATCTACGACGATATGGTATACAAAGTTTATTGATGGTAACTTTATTGGTGTATAAGACGTTCTGCCTGGGCAGCGAGTATTAACTATAAACTGTGCTCTGGGTCTACAGTTAATTTTCCCTCGATTTTTCCTCCACTTGACTTCAAAAGACACAAAACACACGTAATAACACGAATCAAAATGCGCCATCTTCCAAAACGCCGGGTATTTGACATAAGTTAACACAAAATTATAACCTATAACTTGGCTTTGACAAGCCCCAAAAATCTAAAGGCGAGTTCATACGCATCGGCGTCCGTTTGTCGTTCATCGTTCCGTCAAACCAATAAAATTGAAATACGATCTGTCATTTTTGAAATAAACCAATAAAACTGGTTAAAAACAACAAGAGACGACGCATGACGGATTCATATTTAAACCCATCCATAGTTAACTTAAAAAATATTAGAAACTTTTTTTAGTAAAATAAATATATTGGTATGGGACGTCATCTGCTTTTCTCTTTGCTTTTCTTCTGTTATCGTCATATAACTATATACCATTTAGCATAAAGAAATACCGTAACTAAAATATTTGTTGGCTTTACGATCAACACACTCTGTAACTATATCTTTTCAATTTTTTGTCGGCACACTTTACTTTGATATCGGTTTATTTCTTTCAACGGCAAAACGTTGCTCGGCGAAGATTCGTGATGCTGATTGAAGATAAAACTCACAACGTATAAGTTTTACAGTTTCGAAGAAGTTTTATTGGTATTGCCGTTTGTATTCGATCTTGTTATGTTTGATATATTTGATGGACGCGCCTGTAGCCGTACCTCACTCTTCTAATACTATCTCGACGACAACTATCATTTAGAACAAAAAACGGAAACGCAAGGACATATTGTATAGGTTGCGGGATGGTTTTTGCCGTGATGTAATGTCATTGTTTACCGAGAAGATGGCTCTTCAGTTTCTTTGAAAACTTGGCGAAGGCATTTGTTATAGTTTGTTAATGTATGATCGCTCCAAAGATATTAGACATGCTGTTTGACTTGTATTTGTCTTGAATTTCATTTATTTTTAACTAAAAGCGATTTAAGTTAACCTGATGATATTTTCCTTAATAAATACAGGGTGGTGCTTCTCATACGCAGGAGGCTCCAAGGAGAACGACAGTTTGTAATTGTTTGTAAATGAAATTTTATGAGCATATATAGGTTAATTCAGAGCACTTTTTTTCTCAAAAAAGTTACATATATCAAAGTTGTGTTTTTTTGTAATGGAACACCCTATATAGTAATTGCTTTTTGGATTCTGGGAGAAAAATTAAAGTGAGTTATATAAGAGAAGTATATGATTAAAATGTAAGGTTTTTGACTTATTTAACATTTTCTATAAATAAAGAACAATTTTTAAATTACAATAAAAACTAACTTTAAATTGGAATTTACATATAGGTATAGCCTAATATATAGTTAAATTAACTATTGTACTTTAAATCAAATTAAAACATGGTCGAAAAAGTTATACAGGGTGAGACAAAATTAATATTGAACATTGGTCACCTTTATAACCATGATTCCGATATTAAATGGAGAATTCATGTCTCTTCAAAATACTATAATACTATTAAGGTTGCCTACCTCTCAAACAAAGATTTTTCTAGATATTTTCATTTACATGATTTCATCTGAGTAGCTCTTTATTATTTGATAAAATGTAGGTGGCTGTGATATGTCTGACTAGGGAATGCAATCCCGCACCAAAATCCTAATCCCGCAAACCCGCGCGATTAAAGCGGTCAATCCCGCGGATCCGCAAAATTGCGGGACTGTAAACATTAGTCCTAAATGGTACAAAAGGCATTGTACATTTTGCATAGGCCCACAATATATTGATATAGCATGTATCTTAAACTAGCTGTACAGAAATTTGGACCGATGTATACAGGGTGTTCAAAAAATATTTTTAATATTAAATAAACTTTTATTATAATTTATCTACTTATTTTATAAATAAAAATGTTATTCTGATGTTGAAGTTTTTTTTAGCTTGTGTTAGTTATCTGCTTTTAGATACACTCTATATCAATAATTTTATGGCATGTGCAGAATGTACACAGCTTTTTGTACCATTTAGGACAATATGTATGACTAAAAATGCATATTTTTCAAAAAAACGTCGTATTTTCCATAAAACAAAAAAAACTAAAAAAAGTTATCAAATTGTTGTTTCTAATTTCAATACAGATTAGTCGTACTTGGTAAAAATTTCGATTTTTTAAAAATTGTAAATTTGCGGTAAAAAAGATTCTTAACCAAATTTTCACACTCTTATAAAACACCCTGTAATACGAGAATTCGCTAAATATATTTTCGAAAACCATACAGCATCTTAATCACAATAGATGCATCTAAAACCCGGTTCAAACCGCATCCCAAAATCTTTTTTAGTTCAAGAGATACCTATTCAAATTTAAATTTGCCCTAAAATTTTGCTTGTCCCGATAATTACATATGTCCGGCAGTTTATTTGACGAAATTGTCCACAAGTACTAGTTAAACGCTTTTCTTCACTTACGCGCATACGCCAGAAAGAAATCTAACAAGTAACCTGTTTGTTTCACTTATTTTTAATGGCTAAGCAATAAGGGGAATCCCCCGGGTTCCGACCGTCGATGCATCGGCCCGGAACGAAACGGTTTGACCCTGATCGAGATCGATTCGGTTACCCTACAGTAGTAATGGGTCGATCCCACGGATTCCGCACGGTAAATCCCGCAACTTTGGTCCCGCGGAATCTCAGAGGGATCCCGCATTTGCGGGATTGCATTCCCTATGTCTGACGTTACTTCAACATAGCTGTCTAATTAGTCCAACTTTAACAACTACCAGTTATCATTTTGTGTCAGTTAAAACAAAAATATTTCTCAGAAATTTGCCGAAAATGCAAACTTATCCTACATCAGAGAGAATTGATATGATTCTATTAGTTGGCGAATGCGCATTGTATTCACCAATAATTACTAGAATACATAAATACATCATAATTAATAGAATACATACATATACCATAATTAATAGAATACATACATATACCATAATTAATAGAATACTAAAATGCTCCTCATTTTATCTAGTCTGGTTTTTTATGGGGATATGTTAAAGACAGTGTTTATAAAAAACTCGACCAACTATTGTCGACAACATGAGAGAAATTATTGTAGCTGCTTTTCGAGGTAGAACTCCACATATAAAAATGAAAAGATCCTTTTGAAAGGATAATCATTTTCTGCAGCTATCAGGAAAGGAACCATTTTGAGTATTTGATTTCATCTAGCTAATTTTTGTCACATAATTATAGCTTTATATCTAGTTTTAATTCTGTAATAATTTTAAAATATGTTTTAAACGTGTATCTTTTTATTACCGTTGAGTATTTTACTCTAAAATCTTTAATTTTTGTTAAATTAACAAAAGGTATATCACACAGCCACCCCTAGATTTTTTCAAATAATAAAGATCTACTGACGCAAAATCATAAAAATTAAAATATCTAGGAAAATCTTTGTCTGAGGGGTAGGCAACTTTAATAATATTTTGAAGATATATAAATTCCCCATTGAACACCGGAAAAATATACTGGGTGTTCCACTTAAAATAAAGGAGTAACTTGCTTTTAAAAGTGACTAATGTTCCATATTAATTTTGTC